ACACCAGATACTCTTTTGTATCCAGATATTGACATTACATGAGCCTTAGCTCCATAACACAAGAGGGTTTTACTCCTATCTAATAAAAAAAAGATTAAATTATACTGTATTGATTGTTTTGAACATTAGCAACTAATTATCAATTAAAAAGTAAAAACCAAACCTAATAAGTTAGGTAGTTTTTAACAAGTTTCAAGTTTTTCCTGTATTAATTTTTATTTATTTTTATTATAGAAGTTATATTTTATTATATTTTTAAGCCTCCTGATGTATCATGAATATCCCCTTGATTATTTATGTAAAACAACAAAGGTCTTTGACTTAAAGATATAACATTCCTTAGTTGTGTAAATTATGTTTAAAGTATCATTATTTACCAATATTACAGAGTTTTAGTTAGTTATTGTCCCTTTACTTGTGCCCCTACCAAGGTTAAAACCAGATCAGCATGGGGACAATCAACCATATTTTTCATTTTTTTAAGATACAACTTATAATCAGTTGTACCCAATGAATATGCTATTAGGCAGGTTGGGGGACGCTGATTTCCAAGAATGAGCACAACCCTCAATAATTGAAAAATAGGGTCATTTTAAAATGCTGCTATTTTTGTTGTGAATGCAACAAGTAAAGAATGTTTGCATTTTCAGATAGTTGGATCTTATGGTCTTAATTGCTGTTAAGCTTAGATCAATACAAAGTGTTAGAAAAAATTATGAGAATTTCAAAATGGCTGAAAATGGGACTTTTTTGGCAAATGGACAATACATTTTTAGATATATTTCAGTTCTAAACTGCAACAAGTGGCTTATTTTTTGTCTATTTGTTGCAGATAATAGTAGCTAATCAGAAAACTAAACTGTAAAGACTTGTCGATGAATAGAAAACTACTACAGTTAACTTCATTTTGGCCTTTTGACCTAGAAGTTTTCAATTTTTTTTCGAAGTTGAGGAGGCTATAAATTTTTTCTAATATAATACAAGTTAAAAAAAAAAAACAATATTTTTAACACAGAACTACCCAGAAAACACTTCTAGAAAAAATGAGCCACTTGTTGAAAGATAGAAAAAAGTTATGAGGCATTAAATTAGTCTGTTTTTTCAATTCTTAAATTGAAGGGGGCCACTGCACATTGTTTATGATAATGATATGTAAAAATCAGCAAAATCTGAGATGGTGCCCCACAGGCCATTGGTTGAAATATAGTGATTTGAACCTACATCAAAACTTCTTAACAAATGTTTTTATATTAGCGAAACGCTTTTAAATAAAGTATCAATTTACTGATAAGTTTTTTTTTTTTTTAAATATAATTGACAGTTGTATATATTTTTTTAATTTATAATATATAAATTGTTTAAGTGTGCATTTCTATAATAAACTTTATTAAAAATTAAAAAATTGTTTTGTTTTTATAAACAATGACATTCTACGACTACGAAAGTCTCTTTAACAAATTTTAATATAAGAATAATTAAAGTTAATACATTAAAAAAGATTAACAAAATTTTGTTGAAAAAAAATATTTTAGAAAGCCATTTTTTTTTATTTATATAATTATGTATTTTTTATGAGAAATGTTTATCTTTTGAAACATATTTAAAAAAAAGTACAAATGTTAAAAAAAAAGATTGAAATGGTTTTTTAATGCATAAATTAAATAGATTTTTTTTTTTCAAGCATTTTAGTTTAATAAGTTTTGTTTTAGCTGGGTTGTATATATTTATTTTTTTGTGTTTTTGTTCTAAGTATTTTTTTTATTTTCTGTTTTCGTTAGGATTTTTTTTATTTTTACATTTTTTTTTAGATTGATTTAGGTAAGTTTTTGTAGCGCATTTTTAAAATTTAAAAAGCTGTGGTCAAATCGTTAAAACATATTATTTTTTGCATGGTCATATAAAGACGTGAAACGCACGCCTTCCTGTGAAAGCCTGAATATATACAGGAGGGGGGGGTTGTAAATGGTTTTGTTAATGTTTTACTTTGAGAAACAAACTTTTTCTTTACTCAAAAGTTAATCTCTCGATCATAGATGAAAATAATAAGAACCAGTCAAAAAACTTCTTTTTATCTTAAGAAAGAAATATCATTTATGAAAAGAATTCTTTTCATAAATGATATTTTTTTTGTTATATTGTGTTAAATACTAAATTGAAAACTATTAGTCAGTATTAATTTCATTTGGTGAAGCTATTTAAGATGTCAAGAAAGTTTGTTCATGGAGAGAAGGATAAAAAATATACATATTGTATATGTATTATTAATAATATAATATTTTGCGCCATAATATTAAGAAACAGATCCAAACAGAGAAAAGTTTAAAATTTGTACCATTTTGGATTTTTTTTTTTTATTTCAAAAAAAGTTCTTGTTAGTTTAATAATTTTCTTCTAGTGTTTTTGTATTTTTAGCTTTTTTAAAATTTTTTAATAAATGTGATGGTTCGACCCTCTCGTTTATTAAAAAAAATTTAAAAAAGCTATTTATTGAGACTAATTTATTGAGACTAAAAAAACTAATTTATTAAGACCTATCCCCCCCCCCCCATTGTTATTCTATCAACCCATTTCAAGTTACTAAAAGTTAACTATTCAATTATTCCCCCTAATAATTATTTACCCCATACTATTAATACTCATGCTGTATATATATATATATATATATAATATATATATATACTAATATATATATATATATATATATATATATATATATATATATATATATATTTATTTATATATATATATATATATATATATATATATATATATATATATATATATATATATATATATATATATATATATATATGATTGTATAAATATACAGATTTAATTAGTGACAAGTTATGAGAATCATGGCAAAATTTATTATAAAAAATTCTGATTTACACTTGAGTTGGGGTTGTACCCAGGCTTAGTCAGGAAGGCGTGCGATTTCACGGCTTTATATGACCACGCAAATAATATTTTGTTTTGACGATTTGACCACAGTTTTAACATTTTAGTAAAGCGCTGAAAACTTAACTTAGTTATAAAAAAACTAAAAAAACAAACTTATTTTAACAAAAGAAATAAAATCTTCTTAAAAAAATAATGAAAAATAAAATAAAAATAGCTCAGTAATATATAACCAAAACAAAAATAAACAAAAATAAAAACAAAACTTAACTAAAATAAATAATAAACAATAAGATAATTACGTTTAAAATAAATAACTTTGAATCTTTACTAATGTTTTTTTAATGTAAAAACTAGTAGTGCCCTGTCTGCTTTGTTACCGCACCATATAAAATTATATTAATATCAATAAATAAATAAATAGTACTAATCAAAAAATATTGTAAATAAACACTTATGTTTTTATAAAAAACTTCATTACGCATTAGTGGTATTTAAAAAAAAGACAGTTTAAGTTAACTAGGAAAATTTTTTTAATGATGCTTTTTTTGGGAGGAGGGGATGCGTTTTACAAAAATGACGACTGACTAACGAACAAAAAAAACGTGTTTTTTCTTTGTTATATAGACATAGCAAAACCCTTTTAAACAAAGTAACAACTTCCAACGGGTTTTTAATAAATATGCATATTTAAAAGATAACAACGAAAAAAAAAAACTTCACAATTCTTCGTAGCAATGTAAACAAAAGAAAAATAATTAAATCATTTCTTTTGTCAGAAATCCAATATCAGAAAGCAAATAAGGAAAAATCAAGATGAAAACTAAAAATAATGAACAAAACTATTCCTTTAATTTATAATTTGATTTAATTTGCTAAAAATAATATAGAAAAATTTATCTTCTTCCTTTTTTATTTTTTTTACAAAAAATTAAATTCCTTGTAAACAAGTTATAACTTATAACACTGCATCAAAAGTTATCATAAAGCATACATTTAACTTTTTTGCCTCAATGATGCAGCATTTTTCGATGTTTGAGATTTTGTAACTTCCAGACATTGAGTAAACTCCAAACATTTATATGGTTATACTTATATCAAATGAGGATCTTTGCAAAAAAATACCGATTGAAGCCTGGGTACAAAAAAGCCCTAAAATCATATAGCTACACCTGATCAAACATAAGAGCAACAAGTTGATAAAATTTTTTTTTTACTTTTCTCAACCAAATTTATATTCATAGATAAATTTTAAAAATCACACAATCTCTTAGCATTCAACAATTATGGCCATATAAAATTTTATAACCCCTTCAATTTGAGGGGGTTCAACATTTTAAGGTCATTGTTTTTGAATGCTAAAAGGTTATCGTGTGAGTTTTAAAATTTGTTGTTGAATATAGTTTTTGTTGAATGACAAATGTTTGTTTTTTAATATTTTATGATATAAGAATGATCATTGCAAATTCAATGAGTTTTAAATGCTTAAAGGTTGTGCCTAATATTTGCCACAAACAAGGGGTTATACTTATTCTTTATATAGTTGTTTTGTTTTAATAATTTTTAATTGCGAACAATTCAAACCCATGGTTGCAATTTCCTAATATATTTTTTGCACTTTAATTCTTAAAATGTGCACTTTAATTTTTCAGAAAAATAAGAAAAATTCAAGAATAAGAAAGAAAAGGTTGCTGCCCCAGCCCTAACCCTCAGTTGATGTGGCAGCACCTTATACCAGCAAAAGGCTGTAAGATAGTTGATGTATGTACTGAAGCCCCCACAGCTACCTATTTTAGTATGATATCATCAATGTATGTCTTTTGCAGCATTTATATATGCTGCAAAAGAGTCTATATAAAAGCAAAAATAATCTATCATTATACTTCATTTTTTTCTTCTTTCTCTGAAAAATTTGCTACAAAAATAAACAAAACTAGTAAGCATTTTCTGACCTGCATATGCTATTTTAGATTATAATATATATATATATATATATATATATATATATATATATATATATATATATATATATATATATATATATATATATATATATATATATATATATATATATATATAATATTAAATTTAAATTTTAGTTATTTGCTGTTGTTGTATTTGGTTGCATATCTGATCAAGGTTATATTGAACCGTTTGGACATTGTGTATTTAACAAAAATCAAGAAGCTTGCCATTATGGAGTTGGTGTTGGTGTTATAGCTTTCCTGAGTTGTCTGCTTTTTTTGGCGTTAGATTTTAAGTTTGAAAGTATCAGCAATACTAGCACTCGAAGACTTATTGTTTTTGGAGATTTAGGTTTTTCAGGTTTATTAACATTTCTATGGTTTGTTGGTTTTTGTTTTCTTGCTGATCAATGGAGAAAATCAAATCCACAGACAGCTAAACCTACAAATAATGCTAGAGCAGCTATTGCTTTCTCATTTTTCTCAATATTCACATGGGTAAGAATACTTTGAACATTTAATTAGTAATAAAATTTAAAGTAATTAATATTTTTAAATAAATAATTAGTCATATTCCACTTTTTTTTTGTAACAAGGTCTTAGATTGAAACACTTGAGATACTGTAAGGATTTGATAAAAAAGAGATTAAAAAAAATGTTTTTTCAATACAAACTTTACTACTGTGTGTATATTTACACAAATATAATTCACTTTTAGGGTCAGGGAAACACATAAGTTTTATTCAATTAAATGTAAATGTTCCATTTTATTTTTTGATTTAGCATAAAGTGTGAAAAATATTTAGGTAATTGTGGTGCTTAAAAGTTGTATTTTAGACATATTTTAAATCATTCTGGATTACTATACATTTGTTTGTTATTTTGTTAATTATATTATTTGTTTGAGATATAACTTTTAGAATCTGTATAAACTCACAGTTAAATTAATAAATTTTTAGTCTAATACTGTATTGTATTTTATGATTTTTATTTTATGTACAACTAAAAGCTCTCAAATTTAGTTTTTTTTTTCTAGTGATTTTTTTAAAACATTTGATCAGGTTTGAATGTTTTGCAACTTAAAAACATTAAAAATTTGGAACTTTGGTTCAATGTGTGTTTTTCTACTGAATATAATATTTAATTCATGAGAATTTATTTAATTAATTTATTTATAATATTTATTTCAAAAGAATTTGTTTCATGAGTGTTTTTTTACTGAAATGTAGTTTATTTCAGTAAATATAATTTCTGTTAAAATATTATTGTTAAGTGTTAAATTTATTCACTTGATTTTAAAAATAAATTTAGGTTCAAGTCTTAATAAATAACTCATAGATTTAAAAAATTTACTATTTAAATTTTAGTAACTTTTTTCAATTAAACATTAATTTTTTAATAGTTACCCATCATAACTTTATTGAATTTAGTCAGAATATATATATATATATATATATATATATATATATATATATATATATATATATATATATATATATATATATATATATATATATATATATATATATATATATATATATATATATATATATATATATGTATGTATATATATATATATATATATATATATATATATATATACTTATAGTGTAGTCGAAAGAGTCTTTTAATGTAAAAAAAGTCTCTTTCGACTACAATTTTAATTACCTCGTCTCTTAAGCTGTATTTGATTGTCGTCAAAATGTCAAAGCAATTAAATTAATGCGGAAGTACATTAAATTTTATTGTTTTTTAAAAATGTTTTAAAAAACCGCAATTATAACGACTAGAAAGTTTTTTTTTATTAGTGGTGTTTTTGTTTTTGTTTTATTAAAAAACATTTTTAAAACATGCGCAATGTTGCTACATCGACTATCTTATAGCCTGACTCGCAACGGAGTGCTGCTACATCGACTGACAAATAGCCTGACTCGCAACGGAGTGCTGCTACATTGACTGACAAATAGCCTGACTCGCAAGGGAGTGCTGCTACATCGACTGACAAATAGACTGACTCGCAAGGGAGTGCTGCTACAATAACTGACAAATAGCCTGACTCGCAAGGGAGTGCTGCTACATCGACTGAGGGTTTGGTTTGGGCAGGCAGTCTATCATTTAAAAAAAAAAAATTTAAGTTTTTAAACTTTTTCTGGTCTGGTTTATTAACGCGCTCTTTAAAACTACAGTTTATGGGAAACTCTTTTTAACTACCATGCAAGAGTATATATATATATATATATATATATATATATATATATATATATATATATATATATATATATATATATATATATATATATATATATATATATATATATATCAGGGGCGTGTACAGGAAATTTTTTGGGTAAGTCCAAAAAAAAAAAAAATTTTTTTCCCCTCTGCCTCCCTATTTTTTTAAAGAGGGGGAGGATGACCGAATTTTGACCGGACTGAGTGTATTTTATAAAAATGTTTTTATTCTTTAAATGACTTGTGACATTGATAAAATGGTCACTAAAGCTCAAAATATGATATTTGCAAACTAAAAAAACTATTTTTTGAAAATACTCAGTTGTCGTAATGTATAATATATACAAATTAAAATTTTTTACAAGATTTGTAAAAACAATTTACAAGATTAATACAAGATTTTGCTATGTAAATTTTTTTATATAACTTTATAAATAATATTTAATTATAAATAAACTTTATAAATACTTAAAGTCAAAAAACTTATTGCAATAACTGTACAATGCTAAATGTTTTTACAAAGATGTCAGCTATGAAAATAGCTGTTTACCAAAAAGCAGCTCAAACATTTGAAGTTATACTTTTATCGTATTTGAATTTTATTTAAAACACAGCTCATAAGTATTTATAACAAACTTAAAAAGGTTTGTTGCTTGTAATGTTTCAGTATTATTAGATTAAAGTTCATTTTTGAAATTCAGGCAGTTAAGTGAAATTCATCTAAACTTCCCACAGATCAAATTTAAGTATAAAGCCTTTGGTTTGGAAATAATAAATAAACCTAATAAAGCCTTTGGTTAAATAAAAGACACTAAAACATATGACTTGGTCTTCCCAACTAGTATAACAAAACATTGAATTTCTGCAATTGTTTTTAGAAGAAACTGAATATTAGAAAGAAGAAATTAAAACACAGATGCTTATAACACTTCAAAATTGTATCAATCAAACATTGTGTTAAACACAGTAATCTAGCTAAAACTCAGATAGACTAGCAAGAAACAGCGATAACCAAGTTAAAATAATTTGAAATGCAATTTTTAGGCTTGTTTAAAGCATATTTGAAGGTGTTCATTAATAATATTTCTAACTATAGAGACAAAAACTTTTAATGCTTCAATAAGATTTAAACTATAAAAATTATCATTATTACTTGCTTGCAAAATTGTGTAATTAAAAAAGTTATTTTAAAAACATGTCTTGTTATACACAGTGCATTAATAAAATCAAAATTTGTTATTAACTTCAGTAGAAGAAGCAGTAGCAGGGGCTGCACCATTATTGACATTCTTTGAGACAATAAACCACAGGTATAAAAAACTTTCGTTAAGTATCCATGCCACAATTTCACATTTCATAACACCTAAAGAAAAATTAGTAATAGCTTTTATTAAAATACTAAGTAAACAAGTTTTTCTTTTATGCGGTTCATCATAGTTCCTATTACGATTATCATGATTCTCATATAGGATAAACAATATGGCTAATTAAAATTTATACTTAATAAGTCAAAAATCTTCTTCTTGATTATTAAAGAAAACCAAATACTAGTTTTTATCGATGCAACTATAAACAGCTTCTACTTGTAACAACTCTCTGTCTTCCTTTCTTGTATCAAAAGGATATTGTGATATCAAAAGTTCTACACAATTAATATAATATTTGTTCGCCTAACTTTATAGGAAATGAAGCTTTTCTTTAACATACTAACTTTTTCTTTAAAATGCTATATTAGCTTGCAAATTAAGCGACGTTTTGAAGTAATCATCGGCCATGTTATATGTTTAATAAAATTAATTAATTTAATAAAACACAAATTAAGCAGGGTGTATGGGAAAAGGGAAGTCCGAAATTTATTTTCCACATTTGAAACCTTTTTTCTCCTTATTTATTACTTCAAATGCAAGTTATTAAAATGATACACAATCTAGTGTAATAAAATAGGGGATGTCAATTGATATATTTTGATATATACTAGTTGTTACAAACTAAATTCACCTCCTGATGATAGTTAAACAATAAAACTTGACAAAAATTTTACTCAGGGTGTTTGTCAAAAGGGAAGTTCAAAATTTATTTTTCACAATTGAAACCGTTTTTCTCCTTATTTATTACTTCAAATGCAAGTTATTAAAATGATACACAGTCTAGTGTAATAAAACTGGGGATGTCCATTGATATATTTTAATATATACTTGTTGTTACTAACTAATTTTACCTCCTGGTGATAGTTAAACAATAAAACTTGATAAAAATTCTACTCAGGGTGTATGTCAAAAGGGAAGTCCAAAGTTTGTTTTAACTAAAATAATAATTATTTTTTTTTTTTAAACCAATGAAAAAAAAAAATTAAAAAAATAAAGTTCTATATAACAAAATATAATAAGGTATTTCAATTCAAGTTTCTAATTAAGTTATTTAACTCAAAAGTTAGTTTAACCTCCATCAAAATATTGTAATTATTATTTTTTAACAATCGCAAAATTATGAAACCGATATAATATTTTCCGGTTTTTAATATTTTGGAATTTGAACCGTTTTCTGGTTTTTAATTTTTTTCCAACCGTTTCAGATAATTAACCGTGCATAATTTGTTTAGTTTTAGCTGTTGTTTGGTTTTAATAGTTATATATAGTAAGATTTTTTTCAACAATATAATCAAGTTAAAAAACTTTTAAATAATTTTTTTGGGTACGTCCAACGACGTAGCAGACATCCCCTAGACACGCCCCTGTATATATATATATATATATATATATATATATATATATATATATATATATATATATATATATATATATATATATATATGTATATATATGTATATATATATATATATGTATATATATATATATATATATATATATATATATATATATATATATATATATATATATATATATATATATATATATATATATATATATATATATATATATATATATATATATATATATATATATATATATATATATATATATATATATATATATATATATATATATATATATATATATATATATATATATATATATATATATATATATATATATATATATATATATATATATATATATATATATATATATATATATATATATATATATATATATATCAAGCCTTCCCAGGAAAGGCATTCAGTTTTTTGTTTCGTATGACCACACACGATTAGATTATTTTAGAAAACGTGAACACGGCCGTTTACAAGTTTTATAATAATGCTGAAAAACTTTCAAAAACAAAAAAAAAAAAAAACTAACAAAATT